AGTGAAAATTGAAACCAACTAAGCTAAATATTTCACGCCAATCAAGAGAATTTTGAAGAAGATGATATATTACCTGGATAGTATTGAGGTAAGATTGCTGATTAAGACACATTTCAATTATTTCGTCTCTTCCTTTAGGATAATTGAAATAGACAAACAGCGCCCAATGCATCAACCATGCCCTTTGGTTTACAGCTTCAAGTTCAGTGTCAAACGGATTGAAGTCTATATATGCTCTCAATTTTGTCAAATCATCTTTTGCGTGAGTCCACTCCTAAACAGAGGAAAGTTGAATTATAAATATATTTAAAAACTGCAGCAGATATGATAAACAAACGGACTTGAAGTAAGATTTCGGAGGCAAGTTTTCCGTACAACGCATTAAGGTAATTTGGACTCTGCTGAGGCACGAGGCTACGATAATAGTATAAACACAAAGATGCTGCCGAATAATTGCCGCATTCATATTGAAATTTGGCATAACGAAATAATGAATCAATCATATCATCAGTAAACTAAAAAGAATGACAACCTTACGAAGTAAGTAAAGCAAAGAGTAAATCGAGATCTGCAAGCTTTAGAAAGAGGAACCATTTTATTACTCTAACCAGACTCTTACACAAACTACCAGCAACAATTACTGCTTTAAGGAAGAATGCACAAACCCCGTGATTAGCTACAGCGTATTCATAAAGCCTAGTTGTTCCATCCCTTGCATCCATCAAAGCCTTGCAAGCATCAGTCTCCAGAATTTCCACTACAGGATCCACTTTCGCTTTTAGTTTTTCTCTCTGAAACAGCTATACCTTTTGAAAAATAACGCTAACAGACATTCAGTAAAAACTTTCGGTTGAACTTCCACTCCTTCGGCTCAATGGTTAGAAGACGGTTTAGTAAATTTTGGAAATACTGTAATTCTCGACTAACTGTTGCCAAGAAATTCAATTAGAAATCTTTCTTGAATTAGCTCGTAAATTTCTGAGCTCCGTTAAATACCCAGCTGTTGAACAGTCGGAAATTTACTGTTTAAAAGCACTCCAAAAACTACTATCCTCCGGAACTCCAGCTTTCTATTCAAAGAAGGGATAAAAACACTCATGCATAACCTTTGACCTTCCCATCTTTGAAGACCAATACTGGCTAAATGCGGTTTAAATGAAATTAGCGATTCAATGGCATTATATAAAACTGCTATTAACAGATATAACAAAAAAGAAAGATCTAGTAAAAAAAATTACTTAAATTATTTTTCAGTAACGATAGAAAGTAGATTAACCTGATTAAGAATTTCAATTTTACGCTTTTCCAGCTCTTCAGGCACGTCGCCCGGTTGATATGTTTCTATCACACTATCAATCATATTGGTCATTAACAAAACTTTGCGATGCATTTCCACCATTGAAGTGTAATCATATATCTGTAAATAATGAATTCTGTGAGTTCTTCTAAAGCGTTTAAAACTAAGAAGTAAGCAACATAACATAATTTGAAGAGCTGAATATCTTCATTAACATTTACCTCACGAGGTTCGATGAACTCGAGAAGTGGTATCACGAGGTGAGGATCGAAAAACGGTACCATTCGCTTTGTAAGGTCATATTCAGCCATATTCACTACTGAATAATAACAGTTTCAATGGCACAGCTAAAAAAAGTTCAGCAATTATCTGGCCTGCGCAACGAATATCACAATAAAAATATTTTGAGAGCCGCAAAACAAACCTATACTTGAGCGGAAAAAGTGAAAACGAACACATAAACATATAAACAAATCCACTGAGCAAAATTCAGCAAGAAAAGTGATCTCAAAAGATACAGATCATGCAGATATAGCATGAACTGCATCTTTGGAAGATTCATCAGAAAATCTTGGAAAAAGCACTTAGACGAAATTCTTAATATTCTTATCTGACGTGTTAACAAAGCTGCAAGTAATAACCAGCACTGTACACTTCCTATTTTGTTTTATCAGAGTCGGAAATCCGTAAATAAATTGGTCTGAAAAACCATACACTTTCTTCATCTATCGGAGAAAAAAAAAAAGAAACTTGGTTTTCAAATTACTGGAAGTTGGCGAAAGCACAACATTCCGTTCAAGAATATCATCAATTTGGCTTCATATCCCACCTCGTT